AACTGAGAGTTGGTTCTTATCAGCAGGTGAAACAGCATTAAGATTTGAAAGCTCCCTGCCTAATCTGATACACCAGCTTCCACAAGCCAAAGAATAGAAAGCTGAGTTAGAAGTATTGCTGTCTTTGCCTGGGTGAATTGAGAAGGTAACCCTGATCAATGTTTCAGAAAAAGCAACCAAGGAGTCCACATTTATCCCTATGAAACAACACATCACGAAAGTCATTTAAGTAATCTGGCCAGTTTTGTTATTTTCTTTATTTATTCCTTGACTGTGTCTATTTGTCTGTCTGTCTTTTCTGTGAATGGGTGCTAGAAACGAATAAAGCACAGACGTTAATCAGCTTATCATGCTTTTTAATGTTCTCTCTGCTAAAATTATTGTGTATCTAATAAACAGTTAAGTATTTTGTTTAAGAAATAAAACCAGTGCCTGGAAATTAATCATTCACAAAGTTTGGGATTGGTTATTCAAAACTCTGGTTAGGAACAATTGGAGTGACTATTTGGAAGGTCTTTGACAGTTTAATTTTGCTCTGTTGTAGATACTAAGGTAGAAAGGCTGCTTTGGTTCAGCTGCCTATCTCCATGTCTTAAAATAATTGGGGCTCAATTCCTGAATCTTAAAATGCAGACAACATAGGTCTGTGTAATATTCAGAAGCCCAACTGAAAAAGAACATTATTTATTGTTGAAAACCAAAATAGAGCCATTATTCATGGTGCACATAGGCTAGTCCCAGATTGGGCTGACAGTTCTGCAGACCCATCCCAGGATCTGCTTTTTTCATATGTATCCAGAAATGCTTTTATAACTGAACACTTTTTACCACCACCAAATCACTGTTACATTTTTTGTTTTGTTTTTAACTAGCAATCTCCACCAGTAAAACACCAGTGCAGCCAATTAGATATTTACATGCAAAGCCTATTATGAGCAATGCAAACCATCAAAAGTAGAGAGAGTGGGAAGGGGCTAAATCAAAATGGAATCGGTGGTGGGGTTTAGTCAGGGTGGGTTGGGCTGAATGTTGGATTGACAGAGCCTTTTAAAAATAGCACCTTCAGGGAAAGTGGTCCATTCAGGGATATCCGGACAGGAGCGAGGTCATCTGGCTACAATAAGGAGTAGAATTAGGCTCGCATTTAACAATTGGGGTGCTATAGGGGTGGGTAGGTATTTCATGAGGTGAATTTGGGATGATAGTACGAGAAACTCATTAGCCCTCATGACACCTTACAGAAAGAAGCCCTCCATAAAACATAATGAAAATGACAGACAAAATATTGTAAGATTCAGGCCAAAGTTAGGTGTCTACCAAAGCTTTACACTTTAAGGTCTGACCTGTCCAGTATTAATATCAGCAGGTATCATAATAATGGGCAGGATCTAACAAGGTTTGAGCAACATGGGCTACGGTGAAATGGATGAAAATTGGATGAGAACTGGCAGAATTGGATAAGAAATCAAGTGAGGCCTATCTTGACATCAGGAGCAGTTTGCACCATCTTTTATACTTTTGTAAGTGGTATGATTCTCGCTAGGTAACATCCAGTTGCCAATTTGGTGGGATTATTGCTTGTCAAAAGCCTTGTTCACTGCACAACTTGTTTAATTAATATTCAGCTTTCTATCTTGCCAAACTTGCCAAACAATCTAGACATGGAGAAACCTTGACAAGGAAACTATAATGGGTACCTGGCAGATTCAACTAACTGCTTGCTCTGAGTGACCTCCACGGTGGCTATGACCAAACTGCAGCCCAGGAAACGAACAATGGGCACCAGCTGCATGCACCTCTCTGACATAGACATTGGCAAGCAACATCTGCCAAACCATCATGAACATCATGGCATCTCTCTAACACCTCAGCAGTGTGCTATGGAAGTACAGACTTGCATTGCAGGGCTCATTCAGCAAATGCTGTGCTCGTGGGCAGGTACCCAGAACAAGTTTGGACCAGGTTCAAGTTTGCTCATTTGTTTTCTTACTGTTTGTTTATGGCACACCTACCTGCATGCTTGCACCATCCATGCTTTCCCTGCCTTGCCTTGCTAATTAGTGTAGTCACACAACTAGGCAGATAGCCTTGCTGGTCAGTAGTCCTCTGTCTAGTCGGTGCACATCTTGCCATATGGCAGTTTGCTATGTCAATTTCAAATCTGCGCCACATGCCAAGAGCTTATGTGGCAAACAGACTGCATGTGCACAAGCAGGCAGCCATGTTGCAAAGTCTTAGGGGAGTAGTCCTCACTGATGTCCATGGAGGCACCCATCAGTCAGGGACTCCTGGCTCTGTACATCAAGGATAGGCTCTCATATCCAGTCAGTTGGCTACAATTATGCAATTGCTTAGAGTGATTTCAGTCAAGGGATGGGTGCTTCTGCAGATTAGGGAGTAGGCCATGGTCAGTCATGTTGCTCGGGGTACATATGACAAATGTGCTATGGGGATATGTATAGCCACCAATCAGAGATCTTGGTATTCCTTGCCAAGGGTTGTCCAGTCAGGTTGCTCAAGACAGTGGGCCAGTGTTTGTCCATTGAATCTGTCCTCAGAAATTAAGACAAAAGTGGGGTGGTGGAGAGGACTAATGGCAGGCATATCTGCAGGAATGAGACTCAGCAAGTCAGACCTTGGGACTGGGGACTGCAGGCTCTGGGAAAGGGAGGAACACAGCAGTGAAAGGGTATACGGTAAAGCAAGGCTAGAAACAGAGAAATGTGCGAGGGTGAGGGTGGAGTCATCAGTAGTCAACAGCACCCTGGCTTTAAGTGGAGAGAGTGAATGATCTCTAAATGACTATGATCACACCCAACACAGTCACCTCATATGCCCAGGGCTAGGTGAGAAAAATAGTCAGGTGCAAGAGCACGTATTCATTGAAAGTGGCAGGAGAGATAGAGAGAACAGTTAATAAATCAGATTTATGAATAGAGGCATAGAGTACAAGAGCAGGAAGGTGATGTTGAATTTGTTAGATACTTGTTAGACCTCAGCTGGAATATTGAGTACAGTTTTAGGTACCACATTATCAGAAAGATGTGAATTCTTTGGAGAGAGTGCACAAACATTTCAAAAAAACAGTTCTAGGAATGAGAAATGAGAATAGATTGTTGAAACAGGGACTATTCTCCTTGAAAAGAAGAAGGTTAAAAAGAGATCTGATACAGTTTTTCAAAATCATGTGTGGGCTGAATAGGGTAGATATGGAGAAACTATTCCCCTGCATAAAAGGAACAAGTACAAAAGGACATAGATATAAAATGATCTGCGAAAGAAGCATGGGTGATGTGAAGAAAAACTCTTAGCACAGCAAATAGTTAGATTGTGGAATGCACTGCCTGGAAATGTGGAGGAAGGTTCAATTAATCTATTCAAAATGGTATAAAAATGATGTGCACGGGTATTAGGAAAAGGCAGGAAATTAGCACTATGTAAGAATACTCATTTAACAAACCAGTATTGGCATGCTGGGTCGAAAGGCCTCCTTCCATACCATAGCACTTCATGATACCATGATGTAGATGGGTTGGGTGAGGACCTGGGTAAGTGTGAAATCTGTGGATTTACAGGATGGACCATCAGAAAAAGGGTGTGGATATTTGGTGGTGGTACATAAATATCTTGGCATCCCCACAAGAGGAGCCCCGGTCTTCTCTAATAAGAGACAGGTTTCGCTCCTGAATATCTGGCTGTTCTCCACCTGTACAAAGTCAATCTGTGCTCTTCTGGGCTATCTTCTGGAGTGAGAGAAAGGGAGGGATAGAGTGAGGTTAAAGTGGGTGGTATAGCTGTTAGTGTGGATGCAGGCTGTCAAAAAAGAGGTGAGCAGACAGTGCAGAGGTCATGCAGGATTAGTGGTGTGGGAGGCTATGTGGTTGAGAATGAGTGAGGGAAGATGTTGCAGGCAATATTGAGAATGGCAGAGCCTTGGTGGGTGGTGGGTGCAGTATCAGAGATACAGTGAGTGTGAAGTGGCTGAGAGAACAGTGCGACACTTACACAGCAGAGCAGGGTACTAAATTTCTTTCAACATTGCTGGCCACTCTGTTGCATTTTGAAAACTGCACTGACCCAGGTGGCAATCTAGGACCAGTCTGCCAGGATCTGGTGGTGCAGCCTCCTCTGCTGGTCCTCCAGGAACAGGACATCCATCGTTTGCATCACCCTTCAACCTGGACTATTAGGTTCCTATCAGAGAATGGCAAAGCCATTTTCCCATTCTCTGACACGTTCAGATTCTGTCTGTTAGGGCAGCTTTGGAGTGCCAGTGTTCATCCAGGTGCACAATGGCGTTTTTTAAAATGGCACAGATGGAAGAGATGCTGATATTTTAACAAACATCTGCCAAGTGGCTAAATGTTCCAGGAATGATGTGTGGAAATATGGAGCTGGAATTGGATGTGAGAGATGCTATACATTGCAGCAGGTAATTAATACAATGCTGTTGATAAGGCAATGTAATAAGGTGACAGAACTTGTTGGGCCTTGTAATGAAAAACCCTTCAAAAAACTCAAAGCAATTTGGACCTAGTCAATAGAACATGAGATCTGGCCCAATTTGTTTAATTTACCAGAAAGTGAACAATATATAGGAATGATTCAGACCCTACTCCCCACAGTGCTTGAATAGTCAATATTTCTGAATAGTATTAGTCAATTTAACATGATGTTCCAAAAGACTAAATGCATGAAATAAAAACATGAAGCCAGTAAAGGCAATCACAAAGTTATCATACACATCTAACTTTGTGGGAAAGATTATGTAAAATATCAGGCAGTCTGAGGTATCTATGCTAAAGTGAAACCCAAAATAACTCATGCTGTCACCCTGATTTTGAAATACCTTAAAGGAAAGTAGTCCACACTTTAATTCTCTACACTGGAATGTATGATATTCCAGTGTACTGGTCTACTCCAGGACTGTGAGAAACAGGTGCTCATATTAGGAAAGAAAGATATTCTTATTTACATGTGACATTTAAAAATCACCTTACCTGGTTCAATATTATTTATTATGATATCAATATATTTATCACGATCACTTCTGGTATGCTCATGATGAAAACCAAGTGCATGCATCACTTCATGTTGTATTATACCAACACGTACACAACCACTCGTAGAGAGTGATATTTCTTGTGGCTTTCCCTTCCTCGGTCCTATATATGACCAACATCTTAAAAAAATGAATTTAAAACATAGTAAATGAACTTTCTTGCCCATAAGCTTGAGTAAACTGTAAAAATTAATATATAAACATAAATCATGAACCTATTCAATAACCTAGCAGCATACTTAAGAATTTGGTCCGGGGCAGGGAGGTGTTAAGTGCTTTAAACTGAGGGTAACTGTACTATATACACATAAGTCAACGTATGATGGGACAGTTGAAACTATTGCCTACAATTCCAATGCCATATGGGAATTCCAAGGTATTTCACATGCCCAGGGCAGTCAAGTGCATAGAGCAAGAGCAACCAGTTGCCAGAAGCTGAGTTTATGGTTTAGAACACAAGAAGTTGGAGCAGGAGTAGGCAATTCAACCTCTTGAGTCTGCTCCATCATTTTGTACAACTGTGGTTGATCTCATCTCGGCCTCAACTCCACTTACTTGCTTGCTGCCCATGATCTTTTCACTTATAACAAATTAAAAATCTGTCTATTGCCACTTTAAACTTACTCAATGTCCCAGCATCCACCATATTCTGGGTTGTGAATTCCAAAGATTGAGAGTGTAATTTCTCTTCATCTCTGTTTTAAATCTGCTACTCCTTTTCCTAAATCTATGACCTCTCACTCTAGACTGCCCCACAAGAGGAAACATCCTCTCTACATATTTTTCGTCAATGTCCTTTAGCATCTTACATACCTCAACTAGATCTCCTCTCATTCTTCTAAAGGCTAGAAAGTATAAGCCTAAACTGTACAATATCTCTTCATATCACATTCCTCTCATCTCTGGAATAAATCTCGTCTGAATTTCCTCCAATGCAACTACAGCTATCCTCAAGTAAGAGGACCAAAACTGTCTGCAATATTCCAAGTTGGTCTCACTAATGCCTTGGACAGTTGCATCAATACTTTCCTACTTTTTTATTCTATCCATTTACCAATAAATGCCAAAATCCCATCTGCCTTCCTTATTACTGTTGTGCCTGCATACTAGTTTTCTGATTCATTGTGATATGACAATATCCAGAACTCTCTGCACCAAAGCACCCTGAAGTTTCTCTCCATTTAGATAATAGGTTTCCTTTCTATTATCCTGAGCTCACATTCATCCATGTCAAAATTATAGGTGGCAGGCAAAACAGCAGTCTTGTTTTGATGTTGTGACGACAACTTTGAATTTGGCCAATTAGTTTAAAACCAAACACACAGGGATTCACAGCCAATTGAATTGAAAAACTCATGATGTTAGCAACCTGAACCCAATCATATGGTGAGAATTTGTTGCATCATCGGTGGTATTTAATGAAGTATTTTTTGAAAATTGGCAGAGAGCCAACTGCCACCTGCCAGAGTTGGCACCATTCAGATCTCCGAGAAAGCCCACATAATTAGTCAAAGGTATCAAGGTATTTTAACTCAAAGTCCTCACAGGAGAAATCACAGAGAGAATCAGCAGAAAAATGTGACCAATATTCCAGAAGACAGTCCATGTGAATTTGGAGAGATTACGTTACAATTTATTGCTTCTTATTAATTGGGTTTAAATTAGTGGGACTTGTCTTTATTTAAACAGCATTCCACTAGAATGTATAGCAGTTAGAGAGTAGAAGGGGGAGTTATCAGGTTGTTAGTAATTTTGTTAATTTCTTCATTGCTGGCTTAAATAAATAAATTATTTCTTGTTACTTGTAAAGTGGAGATCAGGGATTTTCTTTCTTTTAACCACTCTTTTGATACATTATGAGGGGGGAAACAAGCTTCTCTGGGTGTTTTTGGGGGTAATTATTAGAAGGAAACCTTTAATCCCATCATAACAGGTTGGGGTTTGTGTTTTGGTTTAAATATCAGAGGGGTTTGACCATTCCCACTCTGTAACACTTATTACATCTTCGAAGAACTTTGAAGAATAGCAAATTAGTCCAAGTCTATTTACCCTTCATAGAACCATGCTGAACCTGATGGATTGTGTTTTGACTTTCCAAATGTCCTATCATTACTTGCTTAATAATGGATTCTAACAATTTCCCAATGACACATATTAAACTGACTGGCTTATCAGCATGAAGGGAGGTTCAAGTCACAGCAGGCCAAAAGGAAGGCTGAGAATTTCCTGGAGCGCATATTTCAGAAGATGGGCACCCTGCAGCTACATTTTTAAAAAAAGGATTAGAGATCTTAGGTTTTGTTGAAAGGTCATAACGATACACAGATTGTGTAAAAAGCAAATTTACTAACGTTCCAAAAACAACTGTTTTATCATGTTCCATGTCCAATCTTATGGAGAGCTCGCTGAGCAACAAGGGCACTTCGCAAGATACTATCTCTACAAATAGTGGCTTTTCTCAGCTTTTCTACATAGAATCACTACTCTTTTCAGTGATCTTAATGTGTTTTTACATCTGAACTTGAAACAAGTTATTCCTTGATCTTACTTCAATCTTTACTCCTGACGAATCCAAATAACAGTTCTGTTTCATACAATGTGGACATGCAACCACCCTCCCTCCCATCTGATAAGACTAATCAAATGATTTTATGACTAGTACATTCATTACTGGACTGAAGCTTCTTGTTTCAGTACAGTTCTTTCGAACTGATCAATATCATCATCTTCTACTCTGAACCTTCTGTGGCAAGTGTCAACGTGAAAACCCTTATCCATTCTGAACAAATTACCCCATAATGATACACACAAATACAGAAATTGCTGGAGAAACTCAGCAGGTCTGGCAGAATCTGTACAGAGAAGGCAGAATATTTTGAGTCCTGTTAGCCTTCTTCAGATTGATAGCAGCTAGGTAGAAGTGGTATTTATGCTGATGACAGGGGTGGGGAGGCAGAAAAAGGGTGAGCAGATACATGTTAATGGAGTTCAGAGAAAGAGAGGAAAAAATGTTAGGCATTCCAAGAGGATTGTTGTTAGTAAGCCAGGGAAGAAGAAAAGCTAGATAAGTGATAATGGTAGCTATGAGTGGGTGAAAATGGGGTGGCTGTGCTGAAAGCAATCCCTGTCATGACAGGGCCTGGGGTGTGGGATTGGCTAATCAATGTGGAAGAAGGTGTAGGTGCAGCAGGTAGTAAAGAAGGCAAATGGTATGTCAACCTTCATTGCAAGAGGTTTCGAGTGCAGGAGCAAGGATGTGTTGTTGCAGTTATACAGGGCCTTGGTAAGGCCACACCTAGAATATTGTGTGCAGTTTTGGTCTCCTTTTCTGAGGAAGGATGCTCTTGCTCTCGAGGGAGTGCAGCAAAGGTTTACCAGGCTGATTCCAGGGATGGCAGGACTGACATATGGGGAGAGATTGACTAGGTTGGGATTGTTTTCACTGGAGTTCAGACGAATGAGGGAGGGTCTTATATAGACTTATAAAATTCTATCAGGACTAGACAGGGTCGATACAGGGAGGATGTTCCCGATGGCATGTGTGTCCAGAATCAGGGGTCACAGCCTAAGGATTTGGGGTAGACCATTTAGAACGGAGACGAGGAGACATTTCTTTATCCAAAGAGTTTTGAGTGTGTGGAATCATTACCATAGGAAGTAGTTGATGCCACAACATTGAATATATTCAAGAGGTAGCTACATATAGCACTTGGGGCAAATGGGATCATTTGGGGAAAGTAGGATTAGGCTATTGAGTTGGATGATCAGCCATGATCGTGATGAATGGTGGAACTGGCTCAAAGGGCTGAATGGCCTTCTCCTGCTCCTATCTTCTATGTTTCTATGCTCTAAAATTATTCAACTCAATACTGGGTCCTGAAAGCTGTAATGTCCCCAAGCTGAAGATGAGGTGTTGTTCTTCCTGTTTTCATCAGTCTCACTGGAGCCTGTGGTAATGTCACTGGACTAGTAATCCAGAACTCCTTGAGATTTGGTTCATATGATAGTTTAGAGTGCAGCGTTACAGGTCTCTGCATCCTCCGAGTGTCCCAGTTTACCTACTTTCTGCTCCGTTGCAAACTAAGATACAAACTTACCAATTATCTTAAAGGACCAGCCTTTAAAGAGACATTAACAAAGATTAAATTGTCAAAGGAAACTTCCAAAATTAAATTGAAACATTATTCCAGAGGCTCATGATGCATTCTCTCCCTGTCCACCATTTATTGAAATTAACTTTCGTGACATGCCTTTTAATCAATGACAAGGCTTAAACAAGGAAGAGTCTAGGCCCAAATCGTCAGCCTTCCTGCTCCTATGATGCTGCTTGGCCTGCTGCGTTCACCCAGCTCTACACCTTGTTATCTCAGATTTTCCAGCATCTGCAGTTCCTACTCTCTCTTAAACAAGTGTAAATGGCTTAAGGTGCTAGACTCAGCAAAGGCAATGGGATATGGCAAAAATCTGGTGTTGGCACAGAAGATCTAAGCTCCACAGCTAGCAATGTACTTATTCAAGCTGGCACCTAACATGCATTATGAAAAACTGATCAGGTATGTCCTATACACAATAAAACAGGAAAAATCCAACCAGCTAATTGCTACCCATGAATCTACTCTTGACTTTGAGCGAAGTGGTAAAAGTGGTCTCTAACAGTGCTATTACGCATAACTTGCTGAGCAGTAAACTGAAAACTGATATTCAATTTGCACTCTGCTAGGGCCACTCAGCTCCTGACCTCATTACAACCTCTGGATAATAGAGCTGAATTCAAGAGGTAAGGGTGACTACCCTTGACATTATATTTTTTATTCACTTGTGGGATGTCAGCATTGCTGTCTGGCCAGCATTTATTGCTCGTCCCTTATTGCCCTTGAGAAGGTGGTGGTAAGGTTGTCTTCTTAAAGTTCTGTAGTACATCTGATGTGGGTTGACCACAAGGCCATTAGGGAGGGAATTCCAGGAGTTTGAACCCACAGCAATGAAGGAATGGCGATATATTTCCAAGTCAGGATGGTGAGTGGCTTGGAGGGGAGCATGCAGATGGAGGTATTCCCATATATCTGCAGCCCTTGATCTTCCAGACGGAAGTGATCATGGGATTTGGAAGCTGCTGTCTG